CTCCCAAAGTAACCTAGGAGAACAGACAGTGCTAGTCTGGATGGTGGAAGATCTGTGTCCTAATCTCAGATTTACCATCTTATCCTCATAAAGTGCCTCATAACTTCATTGTTTGATGTCTAAGTTTCCCTCCAGCAAAACAAGTTTCATTTGGACAAAATTATCCAGAAGACATCATCCAACCTAAAATTCTCACATTCCAAATTTCACATTCTTGTTAACTTCCGTGGGTGTCATAAACACTGGGACAGTCACCTCCACTAACAAAGAGAAGGGCTGAGCATCTGCTCTGCTCATTCCTGCCCCACTGCCATCCCTGGGAAGTCTCAGGGGAAGTGCTTAGGAAGGAGGAGGAAGCGCCAGGGCCTCACAAAGGATGTGCTGTCAGCAAGGGAAACAGCTGGCGAGGACAGAATGACAGTATTCAGGGCCCCTGCCAGCCTTTGGGGAGGGAAGAAAAGCATTCTGCTCCCCAGGAGTGGAGGTGCAATGTGATCCCCGGGGCGGAGCCTCTCTGAGGACACCTGGAACAAAGCGACCCTTAGATTATCCGCTTGGGCCTGTTCTGTTCTGTGATCAGTTTAGCTTCCAATCTACCAGTCCTTAGATTAGCCAAACCTCTTGCGATTTTGGCTGGGTCGGTACAGGCTAAGTCTAGTGGAAAGTTAAGGTAATTAACCAGATGAATCAAATTTACAAAAAAATTAAGTATACTGGGTGCAGGACCTGAATGCAGTTTGGCTTCCTGTAAGCATTAGCCTTACCAGCTCACAGCTCAGTTCTCCACATCGCTAGGCTGGGTGGTCACATTTTTCCAGAGGACTCTGCCCTGCAGTTAGAATCTGAAACAAACAAATATCTTTCATCTAGCAAGCCTTTAATGAGAGTTACAGTGGGCTAAGCCTATGCTAAACCCAGAGCAGCAAAGACATGATTAGTCTCTATCTCTGAGAATCAGGAGCTTATACTTGGTTAGGCACATTTTCTTTCTTTTTAATGTTTAATTTTTTGGGGTACATAATAGATGTATATATTTATGGGATGCATGAGATGTTGTGATACAGGCATGCATATATAATAATCACATTGCGGAGAGTTGGGTCTCCATCCCCTCAAGCATTTATCCGTTGTGTTACAAACAATCCAATTATACTCTTTTCATTATTTTTAAATGTACAATTAAGTTATTATTGACTGTAGTCACCCTGATGTGCTATCAAATAACAGGTCTTATTCATCATTTCTAACTATTTTTGTACCCAATAATCATCCCCTCCTTTTCCCTACTGAAGCCCACTACCCTTCCCAGCCTCTGGGAACCATCCTTCTACTCTCTATGTCCTTGAGTTCAATTGTTTTGATTTTTAGATCCCACAAATAAGTGGGAACAGACAATGTTTGTCTTTCTGTGCCTGGCATATTCCATGCAACATAATCATCTCCAGTTCCGTCCAGGTGGTAACAAATGACAGGATCTCATTCTTTTTCATGGCTGTATAGTACTCCATTGTGCATATGTAACACATTCTTTATCTGTTTATCTGTTGATGGACACTTGCTTGCTTCCAAGTCTTGGCTATTGTAAACAGTGCTGGAACAAACATGGGAGTGTAGATATTGCTTCAATATACTGATTTCCTTTCTTTCGGGTATTTACCCAGCGATGGGATTGCCAGATGGTAAAGTAGCTCTATTTTTAGTTTTTTGAGGAATCTTCAAAATGTTCTCCATAGTAGTTGTACTAATTTACATTCCCACCAATAGTGTACGAGGGTTCCTTTTTCTCCACGTCCTTGCCAGAATTTGTTATTGCCTGCCTTTTGGGTATAAGCCATTTTAACTGGGGTGAGATGACATCTCATTGTAGTTTTGATTTGCATTTCTCTGATCAGTGATGTTGGGCACTTTTTCATATGCCGATTTGCTTTGTACGTCCTCTTTTGAGAAATGTCTATTTGAACATTTTCCCTGATTTCTGATGGAATTATTAGATTTTTTCCTGTAGAGTTGTTTGAGCTCCTTACATATTAAGGTTATTAATCTCTTGCCAGATGGGTAGTTTGCAAATATTTTCTCCAATTCTGTGGGTTGTCTCTTCACTGCGGCGGTTGTTTCCTTTGATGTTTGGAAGTTGTTTAACTTGATGTGATCCCATCTGTCCATTTTTCGTTTGGTTGCCTATGCCTGGGGGTATTACTCAAAAACTTTTGCCCAGACTAATGTCCTGGAGATTTTCCCCAATGTTTTATTGTAGTTTCATAGTCTAAGGTCTTAGATTTAGTTCTGTAATCCTTTTATTGTGTTGGGGGGGGAAATGTCGGGTGAGGGGGATAAGGTCCCAACTCTGTTGCCCAGGCTGGAGCACAGTGGCTCCGTCTCAGCTCACTGCAGCCTTGACCTCCTAGCCTCAAGCAATCCTCCCATCTCAGCCTCCTCAGTAACTAGGACTACAGGCATGCGACCATCATGCCCAGCTAATTTTCTTTATTTTTTGTAGAGATAAGGTCTCACTATGTTGCCCAGGCTGGTCTCAAAATCTGGGACTCCAGTGATTCTCCCTCTTCAGCCTCCAAAGTGTTTGGATTACAGGCATGAGCCACTGCACCCAGCCTAAATTTTTAATCCATTTTGGTTTGATTTTTGTATAAGAGAAGAGATTGGGGTTATTTTCATTCTCCTGAATATGGACATCAAGTTTTCCCAGCACCATTTATTGAAGAGACTGTCTTTTCTCCAGTGTTTGCTCTTGCCACCTTTGTCAAAAATTAGGTAACTTTTTTAAAGTGGCAATCAGGAACTCATGAACTATAAAACAGCCCACCTACCAGATGGCCCTAATTGTTATGGGATTTAGAGAAACAAAAGTGCAGGCTGGGGTTGAAGAGGACAATTTGCAGAGGTGGAAGGCCTTAAAGAAACAGACACTCCAGCACCAAGGAAGAAAGGATAATCCCAATTTTTAGTTAAACTAATGAAAGCAAGGAGGTAAGACACAGTGTAGAGAATTTAGAGGAATGCAAGGAGCCACTACTAAGACGTGCTGGAAGTTTACACACTCAAAATTTCATCGGATTTGGGGGTCCCAGCTAGTAGTCTCAGGAACTAACCCAATATGACTGATGTCCTTGAAAGAAGAATAAAACACCACGTGAAGACAGAGACATGCAGAGAGGCCACCATGTAAAGACGGAGGCAGAGACTGGGGTGATGCAGCTGCAAGCCAAGGAAAGCCAAGCATTGCCAGGAAGCACCATAGCAGGCAAAAGTCAAGGAAGGATTCTCCCCTACAGGTTTCAGAGGGAGCGTGACCTTGCCAATACCTTGATTTTGGACTTCTAGCCTCCAGAACTGCGAGACGATAAATTTCTGTTGCTTTAAGCTACCCAGTTTGCAGTACTTGTTACAGCAGCCCTAGGAACTCCGTACACACTCACAGGCATTCATTTAGCCTCCGTGGAGGTGCAATTATCCATCACAGAGACCCTGAGGGAAGAGAAAATAACACCTAGAAAAGTGCTTTATACTCCCCAGGAGGAATTACATGGCCAGATAAAGGAACTGTATTTCCACATCCTGGAGAATAGTGGGAATAAAGGATGTAGCAACTGACAATAAAAAAGAATGGAGAAAACAGTTTCATGCAATCAAGTTATAAGATGATGTTCTTAAGGTGGGCCTTAATCCAATATGACTGGTGTCCTTATATGAAGAAGAAAGCGCCACGTGAAGACAGACATGCAGAGAGACCACCTTGTAAAGACAGAGGCAGAGACTTGAGTAAGACAGCTTCGAGCCAAGGAAACTGCTTTATAAGGAACTGTTTTACAGCTCACTAGCTCCTGATTGCCACTTATCGGGTTCACAGATGAAGGTATAAACTTTAGAATCAAACAGGCCAAAACTGAACCCTGCCCTGCCTCCTACCACCTGTGTGAACTGGCTTCAGTTATTTCCCTCTCAGGGCCTTCATATTTTCAGATATAAAGTGGAGGTAGTAACTGAACTTACCTCATAGAAGCAAGTGACATTTAAAAGAAATATGATACATAAAGCCAATAGCACAGAGCCTGGCCCCCCACCTACCAGGAACCAAGCTTTACCTCGGGGCCCTCCCAAACTCACAGCTCTCTAAAACATATGCAAGCTTCAGTCTCAATGGACGTGCCTTCATCCACCTCCCTTTACCAGAATTCTTCTCATCCTCCAGCACCAACTCCTGTCCCCTTCAGCACTCCAGCCCCCTATAGCACAAAATTGCCTTTCCCACCATAAGACACTAAAAACCAGCTTGCCTTTTTTTTCTTTTTCTTTCTTTTTTTTTTTTGGCTTATAAACAACAGGAATTTATTTTTCACGGTTCTGGGCTGCGAAGTCCAAGATCAAGGCACCAGCAGATCTGAGCCCACTTTCAGCTTCACAAATGGCACCTCCTCGCTATGTCTTCACATGGCAGGAGGGGTGAAGCAGCTCTCTGAGATCTCTTTTATAAGGACACTAATCTCGTTCATTCTGCCCTCATGACTCCATCACCTCCCAATGACCCCACCCCCTAATGCCATCAAACTGGTGATCAGGTTTCCACATCTGAATTTTGGGAGGGACATAAACATGCACACCATAGTATCTTGACCTCTTTACAAACACCACAGTTTGGCACTGGGGGTGAAAAGATAAGGAAGAAACACTGCTTGCCTTTTTTCCAACATGCCCTGCCCTCTGCCCCACACCGTTAGCCATACCGAAAGCCAAAGAGAAAAAAGAAAGGAAACATATTCTTCAACACTCACCCTAAGCCACATGCGATATTGGGCACTTTCATTCCTTGTCATTTCATTTCACTGCATTTCACTGTAACCCCCATGACCCCACTCTAATGAATGCACCTAACCTCGGTCTCCTCCTACACTTTAAAGATCTAGAATAGCCTCGTGGCACATGGTAGGTGCTCAGTAAAGGCTGCTATACCATGTTAATACCTTCAGCTCTTCATGGGGGCTAGTATGAGAGAAGAGCCAAAGAAGAGAAAGAAGACTCGATGCATCTCTGAGAAACTGCCTGACACCGCAGCCGGCAACGCAGGGAAAGTGCTGCTGCTTTTGAAACAGGCTGGGGAGCCCAGAATGTTCGCATGAGCCCCTGCCTAGCACACCTTGACCCAAGTCTATTTCCAACACTACCCACCCCTGCCAAGCTAACTGTCAAGAGAATAATCTGATTATTGGTAACCTCCTCCCAACACAGCCTCACCACAGGACAGCCTATTAGGCCGTCGGGCCTTATTAGTGCTCGTGGCAGCGCGGTCGAGTGTAACTGGATCTGGAGCCCTGTGCTAAATGCTCCATCTGGAGCTACTCTCTCTGAACACGGAGGAGGGCTGCACCCTCCTCATCCTTAAAAGTCTCCTAAAGAATGGCTCAAGTTTTCCAAACCTGCTCAAAGCGAAGATAGCATCCACCACCTGAGGCTCCTCCCTCTTATGCAGACAAACCAAGCAAATAATGGCAGAGGCCTATTCCTCCTGGTCTTGTTCTTTTTTTTTTTTTTGAGACAGAGTTTCACTCTTGTCTCCCAGGCTGGAGTGCAATGGCATGATCTCGGCTCACTGCAACTTCTACCTCCCATGTTCAAGCAATTCCCCTGCCTCAGCCTCCTGTGTAGCTGGTATTACAGGCACCTGCCACCACACCTGGCTAATATTTTTTTTTTTTTGTATTTTTAGTGGAGACAGGGTTTCACCAGGTTGGCCAGGCTAGTCTTGAACTCCTGAGCTCAGATAGATCCGCCCATCTCGGCCTCCCAAAGTACTGGGATTACAGGCGTGAGCCACTGGGCCTGGCCAGTCTTGTTCTTAAGATGGGCACTTTACAAATCTATGAATTCTCTGTCTTCTGACAAATCCAATTGAAAAATACCTGTTGAATAGAAATGATGATACGCCTGGCATTTTTCTTGTACGGGGGTTATAGTAGTGAACAGCACAGAAAAACAATCTCTATCTAGAGCAGCTTATGTTCTGAGGGAGGTAGAGAATAAATTTAATTTTGAGAAAGTAAGTTACAGGAACTGTGTATCAACTGGCTGGGGCTGTCATTAAATTGTACCATAAATTGGGTGGCTTAGACAACAGAAATGTCTTGTCTCACTTGAAAGCTAAAAGTCTGAAATCAAGGTGTGAGAAGGGTTGGTTCCTTCTGAGGGCTGAGAAGGAAGGATCTGCTCCAGGGCTCTCTCCTTGGCTTGCACATGGCTGTCCTTTCCCTGTGTATCTTCACATTGTCTTCCCTCTATGTGGATCTGTGTCCGCATTTCCCCTTTTTATAAGGACAGCAGTTAGACTGGATTGGGACCCACCCTAATGACCTCATTTTAACTTGACTGCTTCTGTAAAGATCCTATTTCCAAATTAGGTCACATTCTGAGGACCTGGGAGTTAGGAATTCAACACAGGAATTTGGGGAGGACACAGTTCCACCCATTCCCATGCTGGAAGGTAAGCATGTTATGGAAAAATATGGAGTGGTAAGAGAGATAGGAGTACCAGGACACGAGGGCACACTGTAAACAGTTCAGTCAGGAAAGAGCAACCAGATGGAAGGAAAGACCCTAAGTCGGAAGCAGGCCTGGAACATTCTAGGAAAGCAGGGAGACTAAAGTGGTCATAGTAGGATGGGCAAACGGAAGAGTGGTAGGAGCTGAAGTCAGACAGGTGAGTAGAGAGGAGGCAAGTTATGTACTAAATAACTTGCCCCAGTATGAACCAACGTGGCTGGAGGGTTTTGAGACTGATGTGATCTGGCTTTACTGTAGGGTAAACATTTTTCTCCTGTAAATTCTGGCCTTGGGGTAACTAGATGGGCCTTTGAGGTATTACATTCCCTTTCTGCAGCATGCACAGTGCCTGACCATCTTTCACCGCATTGACTCTGGCTGGAGACCCTGTATCCTCGTGCACGAAGCAGGATTTTCACGAGGTTGCATCTTTCTGTGTTCCGCAGACCTATTTTCTCAGACTTCTTGGGCCGTGAACATCACAGACCTTCTGCGGCACAGACCAAATTGGCCACAATGGCATCTTAATGCTCCCCAACACCAGGCTCTACTTGGCCTCTCATTTCCGTATTCTGCCACTAATGCAAAAAAGGAGGGAAGAAAGCCTCTAGAAGGCACCAAAGATAATAAATGCTTCTAAAATTGCCTTCTTAGGAAACAGAAACCTGTAAAGGCATTCACTAACTGCACAGTAAAAGGGTGAAAACCGTTGCATTCCCAGACATGACCCAGTGATGTGTCATTAGAGGAAACAACGCTTGCTTATGGGAGCCATCACCCACACACTGTAACAATGAGAATTTCCTCACTTCTTTCTCCTGAGCAAGTATGGGGGCTTGGACCCCAATGGGTAGCTTTCTATCATAAGAATGGCTGACACTGACTGAGGGCTACCATGTGCCAGGTGTGTGGAAATGTTTGCTCGTTTAATCTTCACAGATATTGCTGTAGATAGTACTATTCCCATTTCACATATGCAGAAACTGAGCCTCAGAGAGGTTATTTTTGCCAAAGGTCATACAATCAAGCTAATGAATGGTGGAGCTGGGGCTTGAACCCAAAGTCCCCCTCCCCCTACACCTTGCTGCAGCTCAGAAACTCAATGTGCATAGCTAAATTCTCTGTTTGGTACTTTCTGTCATTTACTATCCATCTGAAAAATTTTCTTATATGTTTTCTCTCTCTGATTAAAAACCATATCTAACTATAGCCCCAACATTTAAATACTAACAGAGTATCCTAGTCAATGCCCATCTCCAGCATTATTCTTTTATGAAGCCTCTACTGATAGCTCCTTTCTCCCAACAAAAGCTGTATTTATTCTCTTTAGACTTTAAAACTCTAAGAAAATAGACAGGTGTTTTGGAGTCAAATGGACCTGTGCTCACATCCCAGCTTTGTGACATCAGACAAGCTATTTACCATCCCTGAATCTCATCTCCTCATGAATATAATAGGCATTGAACTGCCTACTTCATGTGGTTTTCATACGGATTAAAAGAAATAGTGTGTGGAAGGTAGCTGGCCTATAGTAAGTGCTTATTATTCATAAATGTTGGTGCCTTCTCCTATCCTCTTATGACTCTCAAAGCATTCTGCCTTGTAGAATAATCACTTGTGTCTTGACTTTGAAGGTATGGCCCACATCCTACTCATTTTTGTTGCCCGCATGGGATAACTTATAGTTGGCACTCTATAAATGCTTATGGGATATGTTTAAGGTACAAGTCAACTAATCCTTCTCGAAAGGAGGTAAAAAGAAGGAGGGGAGGAAGAAAAGAAGGAAAGGAGAAAGGACAAAAGGAAGGAAGGAAGGGAGGAAGGGAGGGAGGGAGGGAGGGAGGGAGGGAGGGAGGGAGGGAAGGAAGGAAGGAAGGAAGGAAGGAAGGAAGGAAGGAAGGAAGGAAGGAAGGAAGGAAGGAAGGAAGGAAAGGGATAGAGGGAGGGAGGGAAAAGAAAGGAAGAAAAAAAGAAAGAAAGGAAACCCCATGAAGGCAATGGGTGGGAGGAAAAGAAGCCAGCAATTGGAGACCCAGGCAGCCAAGGAAGTTGAGAATCATAAGGGCAAGTTCCTGTTTTCCAGAGTTGTCCAAAACTGGTCCCATCAAGAGCTGTATTCCCTTTTTTGTTGTTGTTTTTTGTTTTTTGAGACAGAATTTCACTCTGTCTCCCAGGCTGGAGTGCAATGGAGCAATCTCGGCTCACTGCAACCTCTGCCTCCCAGGTTCAAGCGATTCTCCTGCCTCAGCCTCCCAAGTAGCTGGGATTACAGGCACCCACCGATACACCCAGCTAATTTTTGTATTTTTAGCAGAGATGGGGTTTCACCATCTGGTCAGTCTGGTCTCAAACTCCCGACCTCAGGTAATCCACCCATCTGGGCCTCCCAAAGTGCTGGGATTACAGGTGTGAGCTACCGCGCCTCCGGTATTCCCATTTTATCATCAAGCGCACAAGCATACATACACTTTTTAACAGCTAACAAAATGCTAAAAGAAGGGTAGTTTAACGTGTTACAGCCAGGACCACAGTGAGGAATAACACTGTACATGTCAAGAACTGTTTTTGTTCCCTTACCCTGCCTCACTGTGGAAGCCCTAAATAGGCAGGTAATGGTGCATGACAAGGCGGGGTCAGGTCCCTCTTCCTCCACCTGGGGAAGGAAAACCTAGTTCCAGACAGGAGTTGCCAAGCTCCTGGTAGCAAATGAAGGAGAAGGAATGGAGCCCTCTGCTTTCACTACGTGTAAGTCCATTAGAACATGCTGATTTCTCTAACAGGATTATCTTTGTCCTTCCTCAGAGCCTGTTCCATTAAGGTAGTAATCAATGACCTTTCTTTTGGCGATGTCTCTGTCACACGTTGGACTTCTCTTTAACTCAGAAATCATTTAGTAACCTAAACAATCTAATGCAGAGTTAGCAATTCTTATTTTTAAAGTCATTTTTATGGCCATTTTGCTCCCAGCAAAAAAAAAAAAAAAAAAAAAAAAAAAAAAAAAAAAAAACAAGTGAGTACTAAGAGGAAGACCGCTTTCTTGTGTCGGCCTCAATCCTGCATCTCGGGTGTGATGTATTTCCAGCAACACCAGACAGGAAGGGAGAGGAAGGAAGGACATCCTCCATTCCAGAGGGGAATGAAGAGTGTTTTCCATTCCCCCACCCACTACTCATCAAACCCTTGCAAGTAATGGATAAAATAAACAGTCCATCAATCATGGAGAAATTTTAACCACATAGAGCCGAACTCAAGGCATATCTGTAAAAGTATTAGTGGAGGATACTAGAAATCCTCCCAAAGCCCACTGTCACCAGAATGATTGCCTCTAACCCACTAATAGGATTACTTCATGGCCTGCTTAAAACTTCTCAATAGCTTCCCACGGTTGTCAGGACAAAGTCCTAACTCCCTAACAGAAGCAACAAGACCTTGACCTCTGTGGTGCCTGCCTGCTTTCCTAGCCTCACCTCAGCTAATTCTCCTATTCCAATTCACTGTGCCATGTACACCCACTCACTCACACATGCATATGCACACTCACACATGCAAGCACACTCACACACATGCAAACACACAAACACCCCTTTCCCCTACTCCTACTGATCTTTTGGAGTCACTTCTTCCAGGAAGCCCTCCCAGAAACCTTAAACCTAGATTAGACGCCTTTCTCTTGAGCTCACATAACACTTTGTACACATTCTCTTAACCCTTCTACAGTGCTTTGTAATTGCTTGTTTGTCTGCCTCGTTCCCCTAACTAGACCACCGGATAAGGATTGCATTTAAACTGTCCACCACTGTATCCCCAGGGTCTGGGGCAGGGCCTAGCTCAATTAATGCTTTTCAATTTAAATTTAGTTGAAGGGAGTGAATTTAATATGACATGGAAAATCTTAGGCAGGCCTGACATATAGTAGGCGCAGGATAAATATTTGTCATTTGGAATTGAATTGAATTATAACTTGGATAATCTCAGGAATGCAAACCTGAGGTTCAACTGTATTTAAGAAAACTAATTGCTGGTTAATGGTATGAAGATGGTATTCGCCAGAGAAAATGGGTCATCATAGAACAGACCAAAAAAAAAAATCTGAAGGGAAGAACTGAGTGTTTTTGCCTGGCTCTGCAGAAGGGAAAGCCAGTGAATCTGTCAGTGACATTAGCTGGCCACTGGAAATAGGTGCCCTGCTGTAGCCAGGGGACATTCATCAGGCCTTTTCCCACCTTCAAAATGCTGGCCTCCTTTTCTCAGACTCACTCTTCACCAAGCATCCCATAAACTTCCCCTGCAGATTTTCCTACAGCGAGACCATGTGCTGACCCAAGCATTCCTAACCCTTCGGCAGCTCTGTTTCTCATTGAAAGTGAATAAATTGGCCCGGCTGACACACCAGGCTAGTAGGAATCTGTCCTGAAACCCTGCTCTATTCTGACTTTAAGAACAAATATCATGTTTCTAAATTTACAGAACTGAGAACCAGGCCTTTGGACTCAGCAAAGTAGATTGCCTTGTAAGGCCCAGCTTCAGTGATCACTGTCCCCCACCCCCCGGAGATACTCATTTCTTCTAGACACAATGGAAAGCAAACCTAAGACTTGCATAACTCAATGAATACAGGGGATGAGAAACCCCACTGCACCAGAGGCTGGCAATGCGGGGGCAATCAGACAATGAAAGAATGACCTTGACTCAGTCGATGGTCAGGCAAGCAGAAGTTCAGGGGTGTTCAACAGGAGCCACTGTCTTTGGTGGTAGGACCCTGCCATCTAAGCCGGAGTAGCAAGCAGGCCCAAGTTGTAGAGGGGGCCAAGTAAACCTTAAGCAAGAGTCTGAGGCAAGGCTTCTTTGGGAAGCAAAAAACTCTGGATAGGGTAAGGAATTTGGGACAATAGTTATCATCTCCTAATAACTGTTTTCGATTTACAGAGCACTGACTCTGTTCTGAGCATGTCCTTAGTGTCTTTATAAACGTTATCTTAAACATTATCTAATTTATTGTTTCAACAACTCTATGATCCAACTACCAACAACCTTCCAGTTTACAGTAAGGACAGCACCTTGGATACCATACTGAAATGGTCAATATATCAGCATGAATGAAATGCAATCACCAACATGTGAGTGTTGTTTATCTACACACACACACATACACACACAATGACAAGTTCATGTGGTTCAACCCCATAGTTCCTGTCTCCATGAGGGTTAGCCAGAAACCTAGACAGAATTAAACATACTGGTGGGCGGGAACAGAGAAGGCAGAAATGAAATACAGGACAGGTCAATCTGACACACCAGGAGTGATGGCTGCAGGGTGGACTGGTCCCAAGAGCACTATTGTCAAGCTGCTGTAAGTGACTGTGGGATTTCTGGCCAGGGGGTCTGGGCTCACAGACAACGCCCGCTGTTGTTTCCCAGTCAAATCACCAGTCTCAGGCAGTCTCAGCTGAGCTGCCCCTTTTCCCAACACCCAGAAGCCCAAACAGCCATGCATGTCTCTCTATCAGCCCTTGTTGGATCTCTCTCTGTGAACAGAAATCGGATCACATGTTGCCTGAAGTCAGATATGTGCCCAGACTCGGTGCACTGTGCAAGATTTCACCAATGATGAAAATAACTTTCTGTTGCAGCATTTAACATCTGGTGTCACAGATTTTTGCTGAGAACCATAAAATCACTAACTTGCAGAGAAAACCTCATTGTTGAAAAATACATTTACGGTGTTGTGGGGGGTGGCAGCTGGAGACTGGCTGTGTTCTGGGCCTGCTCAGTGGATGATGAATTTTCTGAGGCCTTGGTAGGAATCTGGAGCAATAGAAAGACAGACCCAGGCTAGCGACTCAGCCACTGACTAGCTGAGGGAACTTGCACTGGTTCCTTCACCTCCCAGAACTTCTATTTCCTTATCTCCTTAAACAAAAAGGATAAAAATAGCCAGCTGCCAGGGCTACTGTGTGGATTCAATGAAATAACATCTGTGGCAGTGCCTGGCACCAGAGCAAATGCTAGTGTTTTCCTTTCTTTTCCTTTTCCTTTTTTGTTCCCTGACATTTCCTTTCAGACCCAAGTCTGCCTGAACACTGTGGCATTTGTGGAAGATGTGCACATGCAACACTCCTGCAAAATTTGGCCCAAGTCACAGCTCACTGGGACCCCTGTGCTCTGCCTTAGCTGGAGAAGTGCTGATGTTTTAGTCTGTCTTTTCCAGTGAAGTGGACGGTCTTGGCGGAAAGAGGCTGAGCCGGTTCACCAGTGCCTGGCACACATTGTAGATGCCCAGGCATTTCCTAAACACAGGAGTGATCTGTATGATATCATCAAGAAGTAGCAGGAAGGGAGGAGGTGGCATGCCTGTGTTCTGTGCCAACAGCACCCAGCAAGCTCCTGGTTAGTCTGTGTTGTGTTAGGCCTGGAAGTCCAGGAAGTTAGTGACAAGAGGAAGTGAGCCACGGGGCCTGTCCGCTTATCTGGAAAGTAGGGGCTGGGACCGAGGAATCACACTTTGTAGCCTTCACCATAGACAAAGGCACCGGGGCACGTTGCCTGGGGGGCCACTGGCCACCTTGAAGACAATGTCTGTCCTACTTGTCATTCCCATGGCTGCCTTCAAAATTCACATTCAATCCAGTTTCCCTCATGTCTAAATGCTGCTGTGGGGTGGCATACTGAGAGATCCATGGGATGTCATTGACCCTCTTCCTGTTCTTTTCTACAGCATGGCTTTGACCTTTGAACACGCCCCAATTACTGTAGATCCTTGCCCAGAGCACACTCAATCTCCCACATCTTTCCCTCGGCCTCTCCCATGCCCCCACGCTTGCTGCACTGCCTATGGATGTCTGTTTCTGTGTGGGCGCTGCCTCTCACTCTCTGTGTCCCGTCCTCTCTCCCTGTCCTTCCCTCTCTGTTCCCTTGCCCCTTTCTCCATCTCCCTGTGTCCCTGCGTGTGGCTGTCTCTCTCCATTTCTCAGCCTCCCTCAGTCGGTCTTTGCATCCTTCCCTCCTGCCCCTCCCAGACTTGCCCTACCTGAGCCACCCCCCAAAAGCTGCCTGAGGTCCTGCACCTCCCTGCCACTTTCCTCATATTTTTAACTATCACTTATTATCTTTGTCATCGCCATGTTTTTGGCTGTGGGCCACAGCAAACAGAATGTGAGAAAGCAAAAACTAATGAGCTTCTTCCAGAGAGGATAGGGAGCTTCTGTTATTTCATTTAGTCCTCAGAGTTTAACTCCTGGCACTTCCGTCACATCTCCAAATGGTAAGTGAAGGTTGTTACTTTTCAATTTGGTTGGGCTGTGTAGCACATTTCATCAATTAAAATGCACCCTTGGTGCAGAATCACAACAGGGCCGGCAGGAAGGGTGCTAGTGTGTGAGGATCTTTTTTTTTTCCTAAGTTACTTTCGTTCCGTGTTCCATGGAGTGGAGAGCTGTTAGGGAGCAGCTGCATGCTGGAAATGACACCGTCATTGGTAGAATGAATGCAGCACTGTGCGGTCCAATGCTGCACAGCACCCTGATGGCTGAAGACCCTGCCAGACCCAGTGCTCCTGGCTGGGAGGGTCGAGCCCAGGTCTCTGGATTTAGCCCTGAGGTTAAACTGACCTCCCAACCTATAGGGTGACCTGAGTAAGTCACTCAAGCTGTCTCAGCCTTGTTTCTGTCCCACCAGTCCCACTCCTATAGGCTGTAGGCAGAATTCTATAACTGGAAAGAGCTTTAGGAGGGGAAATGAATGAATGGCATAATAAACTTCACCAACTACCCTGCTATTCATTCATTCAGCAGATACGTGTTCAACATTCACTGCACGCCCGGTACTATGCTGGCCTCAATTCTTGGAGATGTTAGGTCTAGAAACCTCAATCTTTCCCTCCACCCCACCCTGCCAAATGAAGGGAGGAGGATGGAATTCATTTTCTTACCATGAAAGCAAACTCCCGCAGCCTTCTACTTTTTCTACCTATGAAAATTGCTTGAGGGAGAACTAGTGATGCGCCTTTTAAAGAATTATTGTTGTTTTCTGATTCTAAAAGTCATTGATTTATTATAACAAATGTTTAACGCACATCAAAAGAAAGTGCAAAATATAAATCGGTCACAATCCTACCTCCCAAAGATAAGTTTTTTCAAAGGAACATTACATTTTACATCGATGGAAACCACCAACAAGCCTACTAAAGAAGGCTAAGTCCCCAAGAGAAAACAATTTAATTATTTAACACAATTATTGAGTACCTACCTTACGTGAGGGACTCCTTTGGAGCTATAAAAATTAATAAGGTCTTGCCTTTCCAGGGCCGGGGAAACACTGAGTTACTGGTCATTTTTACGCAAATGTCTTCAACCCAAACCTAATGATGTCTCTAAACTAGAAATACAACTTGGGAATGGGCTCCATGTCCAATTTCAGTGGGAATCTTTGACTCATTCTAAAGTTTCTTCCTCAGTTTTTTCTTCCCACTGTTAGAATTTCTCTCTTACTCCAGTTCACCCCCTTTCCACTTTGATTCTTTTCCCAGTGTTTCACTGTCAGAAATTATGAACACTGAGCAGCCTTGTGCAATACCAAAGTGATTAGCAGTAGCATCTCAGCAGACATGGACAATAGAACAAAGCCGGGTAGAAAATGAGCTGCATTGCACTTTGGCAAGACCCTGCAGCTGGCGTTTCCTCATAGGCCAGAATTGGCTGTTCATAAATGCTCTCAACTGGACAAGACTGTGCAGAAAAACATTCTTATTCTCTCCCCAGCATGTGCTGCTCAAAGCTCTAGTCCCTTGCACTATTAGAAGAGAGGGAAGGTGGTAGTCAAATGTGTTTGGGAAGTGCTTCTAGACACATCCAGTCACAAAGCACATCAACACATCAAAGGCTCCAGGAAACCTGGTTAGCACAGTTTAACTCAGCAATTCCCAAACGTCTGACCATGGATATTGGAAGCACTAAGGAACATCCTGGGAAAGCCATTTTGGAAAAGAAATTAGTTTTTCTTATTGTATAAGTTATTCATACTCGTATTATGTTAATATTATAAAGAGAAACACTGGCTTCGGTGTTATTAACAAGGTCCCTCTCGGTAAGGACGGAGCACCAAAGAACTAAGGACAGGAGGTGAGTTCAGGACGTACTCGTCTTGGTGAGAGCTTGGGCTGCTGAGATCTGGGAGTCTGCCCTGGGCCTGCTTGGAGCTCTGAGTGGATGGAAGAGCTCAGTCGTGTTTGCACCGACGGTGACACGTTTTGCCCAAGAACAAGTCTCTCAGCTACGGAGTCCCCATGTTGTTGCTGATTGTTGGAGGTTCTTTTGGTCTTTGTGTTTTCTCAAATCCAATATGATGCTATGAAGAGAAAACTTGATCCTGAGTTAAAAAAAAAAAAAAACTGAGAGCAAATAAAATAACTTTAGAATCAGAATATGAGAAAATAAAAGACTCCGCTTTTGATGACTGGAAGAATATTCAAGGACCCAGGCCCTGGAAAGATCTTGACCTCCTCCAAGGAAGAAATCCACAAAGCCTTAAGACTAAGAGAACTTGACTTTCTGATTCTTTTTTCCTTTTCCTTTTTTAAATAAAAATGTTATAAACTGGACTTCCTAATACATACCCCTATCAAGTGGAAAGGAAATCCCAAGCCCATGGAAACATGGATATGGATAATTTGATGACAGATAATCTTGGAAATAGGTCAAGTACAGGTTTTTATATTTCCAAATGCAATGTGTGCTTTTTCTTGCTGTTTCACTGAAATGTTCATCTAACTTGTCTATGCAGCCAACTCCCACTCATCTTCTAAGGCTCAAGTTTTCTCTTCTGTGGAGCCATCCCCAAATCACCTCCAGGAGTGGGATACCCCCCAGGCGTAGGATCCCCTCCTTGCTCTTCCCTGACATTTCACCCCCTGGGTAGTGCAGTGAGTGATGCACAGAAGTTTTCAAAGAAAGAGATGAAAATGAACCAGGATCCAGAGATTAGACAAACCCCATTTAAAGGGAACAAATGAAGAAAATGCTCAAAATAGGGAAAATGTAGGCAGAGAAGCAGCTGGCATTTCGAAGCATTAGTTATAAGTGACATCCTGATTTCAACAGCGTTGGCAATATCCAGACATGCAGGTGGCCTAGGATGGGGGAAGGGAGTCCAGAGAACCAGTTCCCAGGAAGCTGGACTTCAGATACAACAGGAGGTCATGATAGAATAAACTCTAGGAAAACTAAGCACACCAGGAAGCAAATCTGAGTCATTGGGTAGTAATCATTAAACCAGGGGCAGGACGGACTCCATATTCTAGGGCAAGGCTGAGCCCACAGGTGTGGGTTAAGTGGCTGCACCTGGGGGATTAAAGGACTGCAGGACAGGAAGCCAAGCAATCATTACTGCGTCCAGGTGCTTCTTTCCACATGGCCTTGCTAACGTTTGCTTCTGCCTTCACTACATAACCTCACACTCCCCAACACTATGCATTTCTACATTCAGAACCCCAGTTTGGAAACTTGGCTTCAACCTATTTTGAAAATTATTTGTGCCCCAGAGTTTAAATCCAGGATTAGATTCATAGAGTTGTAATGCAAAGACCTGTTCACCCCAACATGTTTAAACCCACGTTGGGAGCCTCAATAACTTGCCCATAAAATAAAGGTTATCCATCCAAATGGTTTTGGATAAAATGAAGGTGGATAATAAATATGAATGGAATTCTTTCAAGAAAAAAGATGTTCATTTTCTTTTAATCCCCAAAGACACAATCTCCCAAACATATATTCTAAACCAATCTGGGCTGGGTGAGGTGACTCTTGCCTGTAATCCCAGCACTTTGGGAGGCTGAGGCAGAAGATTACTTGAGGCCAGGGGTTTGAGACCAGCCTGGGCAACACAGCAAGACCCAGTCTCTGTTAAAAAATAAATAAAAATAAGTTCATCTGAATAGTTAAGGGGAAATATAACAGATTCAGGTCAAGCTAAGAGGATTTGAAATCTAGAATGTATTATTTGATCACTACCAAAATGGTGAGAAATGGATTCTAATTAAGTCCTGAAGTCCTCAACCCATAGCTAGGGAGGAAGAAGCCATACATTAGTTTAGGATGATCCTGTTGGCAGCGCAGGTAACTGTCAGGAAACCCCAATAAAATAAGAAAAGAATCCAAAAGGGTCTGAAGTTTCACATTTCTCAGTGGAAATTCTAAGGAATGAGAGAGGATTTCCTGTGCCTTTTCACTTTATCGGTTTGAGCTCTAAAGAACAATGAAAGAAAGAGATGGAAGTGATGAAAGGGTGGGTGGGTAGGTGGATGAACGGATGGGTGAACAGAGAGATGGTTGAATGGGAGGTTGGATAACAATTTTAAATGTAGATAAACTGGGTAAGGCTCTCACTCAGGGGCTTGCTTGATGCTTTCCCCAGAAGGCCACACCTACTTTCCCTTGTGCTTCTGCAAATGGTCACGGCAAATTACAGATGCAACTCAAATGTCAGCTGGCATCACTTCTGTTCATTAAGATTCTGTCAGAATTGCCGAGATGCTATCCCCATTCCCAATCCACATTAAATCTAATACTCTTCCCTAAGATTTCTGCGGATTACAGGATTTATACATTCTTGATCTCTTGATACTCAGATTTTTTGTTCCTATTAAATCTAGTTAACATATTGCTTTTCCTTCCTCTTCTTTCTATTCCATGTGGATTCTAATACAAAATTCCACTTTTACCTTTGATTTACTCCAAACATCACTACTGAACAGTGTACTGAGACTAGAAGAACAGAGAAGGGGAATTACAAGATGGAATAGCACAGCATACAACCTGAGTCACTGTTAAGCAATCAGACAGTTCTGTTCTTAAAATCTGGACCATACCTGCCGCTTGGAATTTCTCACTTGCTTACCTTCTCCTCAGAATCCCTGGTTTTCTGCTGCGCTCGCTCTCTCTCTCTCTCTCTCTCTCTCTCTCTCTCTCTCTCTCTCTCTCTCTCCTTCTCTCCCTTTTCCTCCTACCTCTAGATTTTCCAGCCTTGCTCTCAATCTCCCTAATTCCCAGCTAGCTTGTATCTGTCCAGATCTCTCTTCATCCCTTCCCCACAGCTCTTCAACCTTTTTTTTTTTTTCTTTTTTATTGAGTCGGAGTCTCGACCTTCTCTCCCAGGCTGGAGTGCAGTGGCATGATGGCTCACTGCAATTCCACCTTCCGGGTCCAAGCAATTCTCCTGCTTCAGCCTCCTGAGTAGCTGGGATTACAGGCACCCACCACCACACCTGACTAATTTTTGTATGTTTAGTAGAGACAGGGTTTTGCCATGTTGGCCAGGCTGGTCTCGAATTCCTGACCTCAGATGATCCACCCGCCTCAGCCTCCCAAACTGCTGGGATTACAGTTGTGAGCCACTGCACCGGCCACCACAGAGCCTCGTTATAATCAAACACACCCATGCACGTGTGTTTGGAGACAAAGGCTTTTCTCTCTTTGACAGGGATTCTGTCATTTGTCTCAAAATAGCAATTTTTCTCTCCCTTCCCCCACCACTCCACCTCCTATTCCACCACTAATCCTTAGACATGTTGCAGCCATCATTAACTCTCTTCTGCATTCAGATCTGAATGTCTGTGCTCCTGATATCAATCTGAAAGCCTGACCCAATCCAGCCTCATCCTGGCTTCCTCTTCAAAGTTGTTGCCTAAAATCCATTCAGCATTTGGGCTTCTGGAAAAGGAATCATCTTGGAGTAAAATGATTGTGACCAGAGGTTGGAAAGGGTGATGGTGGGGGTGGAGGGGAAGTGGGGATGGTTAATGGATACAAAAAGTAGACTGAATGAATAGGATCTAGTATTTGATAGCACAAGAGGGCAACTATAGTCAATAATAACTTAACTGTACATTTTTAAATAAGGAAAAGTGCATAATTGGATTGTTTGCAATGCAAAGGATAAAGATTTGAGGTGATGGATACCTCCATTTACCCTGATGTGATTATTATACATTGTATGCCTGCATCAAAATATCTCATATACCCCATAAATATATACACCACTGTGTACCCACAAAAAATAAAATTTTTAATTTTTTTAAAAAAGAAATAATCTTGAAACATGAGGAGTACACAGGACCAAGTGATGCCAGAGCTATGACTTTAGTTATATCACAGCAACCCTGTTAGATGGACAGTACCTCCCTTTTGCAGATGAAGAAAATGAGGCTGAGATAGATGAAATAACTATTTCAAGGTTGCAAAATTTTCTCCATCCAACTCATTTTCATTCTTGTAACTAGAGTGATTTTTCATTTCTGTGGCCACTTGTTTTTCTAAGAGAGACATGTGATCATGCTGCTTCGTTGTTTAAACTCTTCAATGGCTCCCTGCTGTCCTCAGGGCAAAGCTTACAATCCTTAGCCTGGTATGCAAGGCCATTCATGATCACTTACACACACAGACACGCACACACATGTTTACCTCTCAGTCCTATCTTTCTTTAAACCACCCACTCCCTGCTCCCTCCTCCGTGGACTCTAGGTTCTAGCCATGCTGAATTATATATTTTTTCCTAATCACGCCTTCAGTTCTCTGTGCATGGTGTTCCCTCTGCCTCTCATGCTCTCTCCCCTACAAAGAAAGCTCCTTAAGTTTAGAGACTTTATTTTGCTCATCACTGCTGTGAACTTTGCAGCTAAAACAGTGCCCCGCACGCAGCACTTCCTCATGTCACCCTAATGACTCTCGCAGACTTTTCCTCAGGACATATCTCAGATGTCACTTCCTCCAAGAAGTCCTCCTGACATCACAATCAGGTTTCAATTCTCTTTTTCTGATCCCTCAGATCATATCATGCTTGCATGTATCATAGCACTGATAACACTCTATCTTCTCTCAACTCATCTGACTTATGCCTTAGACAGAAATCCTGAGAGCATGACTATGCCTTGTACATCACTGTGGTATTCACAGTGCCAAATACAGGCACACGGGGTGAGAGTAGCAGGGGGAAACACATCTCTGGAACCACAAAGATGCTACTCTTGACAATTTCAGAACTTAAGCCAGGCACTATGGCATATGCCTACAGTCCCAGCTATTTGGGAGGCTAGAGCAGGCCAGGGCAGCAAAGCAAGACCCCATTTCGAAAGAAAAAAAAAAATTCTAGAGCAACATAGGCCAAATGTGTGGAGAGAAAGAACAGATGCAATACCTCAGCAGTGGATACCATTTACCCTTGCTATGCTTCTGGCCAAAGAAGATATCTGGCATATAATCAGCATAAAATATAAATGAAAGAATGACTGATTAAAGGAAGCAAGTGTCAGAGCTGGTGTGTACACCCACAAACAGCTTTTCCAGTTTGAGGCCATTCAGCAACCTCCACTCCTATAGTACTAGGACCAACATGGCAGAATTAGAAAAGTGGCATCCAAGACATTGGGGATCAGGAATAACAGCATCAGTGAATGTCAATTACCGGCAATTTCCAGTTAGCTGTGCTCCACCAGTTGCTGACCCCACTAACAATTCTGCCCCCAGATAAACTGTAAGACATCTTTCAGGAGGCTGTGAGAGAGCTCATCCTTTCTGCATTCCCACCAATAGAGTCTTTTCTAAACTC